TGGCACAGTTTGGCGCCGGTTATCGTAGAGTGCGGTCGTGTCGCTACGGTGCTCTGCGGTGAGCACAACGTCGCTACTACGCCTCTCTAAACAAGATTAACGCTGAGCCCGCTTGCGCGTTCCGAGATTCAGCGGTGAACGGGACACCGACCCATCCACCCTTACAACTTGCAGACATCTCGGAACGGGAAAGGATTAATAATGTTTTCAGCCAATTCACGAGCGTTAAGAAACTCGGAACGTCGCACCACACCCAAGTTCTGAAGACACGTCGACGTACCGACGGGGGGGGGGGGGGGGGGGGGGGGGGGGGGGGCGGGGGGGGAGTGAAGACGGGGGATCACACGCCCTTTAAAACGCCGGTGTTCATTTCCTGAGATGTGAACGTTCCTGAGTTGGATTTTTTTCATTACTTTTTTCGTTTCCCCCACCTTGCACCACGGTAAAGATATGGAGGCATTTGTAAATCAACCCGTGTACTAAATAACGACGAGGAGAGGGGGTAGCTAATTGCCTTGAAGGGCGCGGCAGCTTGGGTACACGCCGGCACTACCATTCGTCTCAATTCAATTAGCGATTAAATGCAACGGTGGGCGACTGGGCGACCGATGCAGAATGCAAATCGAACGCCTCGTTCGAGACCCCCCAAAGCATAGCACCTCCTGTCTTTAAATATTCCCCGGAAGACTGCCGGGTGTGAGCGTCAACCGCAATCGGGGCATCAACGGGCCGATGCGCCCCCACATCTCCTTCACGAATGGAAAGTTAAAGAGAGGAGCCAAATGATAGCCCAACCTAAAGTGGCTTATCATCACGTGGAAGTTTCCAGCAGTAGCCAAATACTCTAAACGCACGTCGATTCTGAAAGTGGAGGGGGAAAACCGGAGGACCCTGCAAAAGGCCCACGTGGTCACGAGGTAGAAAGACGCAAACTCCAAATATACAGCAGACGTCAGGGTCGGGATCGAACCCACGACCTCCTATGCACCAGGCGAGATAGTTAACATCTCGCCACCGCAGCACAGCGGTAACCCTCACATGCGTACCACTCCTTGGCTGCCACGATCATTGTTCTTGACTGTTGGCCATCACCCCTCTGAGCCACGTGTCTCTACAACTCACTTTTGTTTGCAGTTTTAACTCAATAGACTGGCAAAAGTTGCAAAGGGCTCACCCAAGGCACCCAACAAACAACATGCGTCAAGGTCAAAGTGCATCCGTGCTCCTCGAACGAGCATTGGGGCAGCGCCCAGCTCGGTTGGCAGCCCTAAGACATCGGTGGAAATTCAACATTACCATAGCAGGGGCCAGTCTATATCCCCCATTAGGCCACCCACCGTTCACTTTTCACAAAGTCACGCTGTGGACCCCCAGAGAGATGATGATGATGATGGGCGAAGGGCAGTGGAGGCACGAGGAGTACGCAAACAAAGCAAAAGCTTCCGTTCTCCAAGTAGCTCAAGGTTGTCCCCGGGATCCGTGAAGAAATGAAGGTGAACCAAGCATCAGTTCAAATAAAAATGACGATTAACATAAACAAGCTCATTAATATTTAACAGCCGATTAACCTATCATCTCAATCTTGGATGCAGCTCTCTCTCCTCTCTCTCTCTCTCTCTCCGCTCACTCCATCTCCCGTCCCTTGTCCGCACCTCCCTGATCTCGGTAACGTCTCCATCCCTTGTCCGTGAATCTTCTTCTGTCTTCTCGTTCGGAATTGGAAAAAAGGGGGTGGTGGGGGAAGGTGGCGTAAATACTCTTTCTGTTTCGGGATCCCCCAATTCAACTCTTGCTCATGATAGCGGCAGCGATGCGTTCGGGAGCTCGATGCCAATGTCGAGGTCTTGCTGCTGCTGCTGCTTGCAACCACGCGAGAGCTTCAGGAGAGAGAGAGTTCGTGTCGTTTGTCTCATTCCTCCTCTGCTGAAGGAGCGCAGACCACAATGGGTCTACTGCAGGGTCCATAGTTTGGGTTGCTTGGCCATAGTTTGAGTTGCTTGGCCATAATCTGTCTCCATGGGTCTCTGAGTCTCTGTGTGTCTCTATGGGTTTAATGTATCTCTATGTATCTCTGAGTGTCTCTATGGGTTTAATGTATATCTATGTATCTCTGATTCTCAACGTGTCTCTATGGGTTTAATGTATCTCTATGTATCTCTGAGTCTCTGAGTGTCTCCATGGGTTTAATGTATCTCTATGTATCTCTGAGTCTCTGGGTGTCTCTATGGGTTTAATGTATCTCTATGTATCTCTGAGTCTCTGAGTGTCTCTATGGGTTTAATGTATCTCTATGTATCTCTGAGTCTCTGGGTGTCTCTATGGGTTTAATGTATATCTATGTATCTCTGATTCTCAACGTGTCTCTATGGGTTTAATGTATCTCTATGTATCTCTGAGTCTCTGGGTGTCTCTATGAGTTTAATGTATCTCTATGTATATCTGAGTCTCTGAGTGTCTCTATGGGTTTAATGTATCTCTATGTATTTCTTAGTCTCTGAGTGTCTCTATGGGTTTAATGTATCTCTATGTATCTCTGATTCTCAACGTGTCTCTATGGGTTTAATGTATCTCTATGTATCTCTGACTCTCCGTGTGTCTCTATGGGTTTAATGTATCTCTATGTATCTCTGAGTCTCTGAGTGTCTCTATGGGTTTAATGTATCTCTATGTATCTCTGAGTCTCCGTGTGTCTCTATGGGTTTAATGTATCTCTATGTATTTCCTAGTCTCTGAGTGTCTCTATGGGTTTAATGTATCTCTATGTATCTCTGGGTCTCTGGGTGTCTCCATGGGTTTAATGTATCTCTATGTATCTCTGACTCTCCGTGTGTCTCTATGGGTTTAATGTATCTCTATGTATCTCTGAGTCTCTGGGTGTCTCAACAACTGCAACAACCACCACCACAATAACAACAACGACAACCAGGGCACCTTTGCAATAAAGGCCCGGGAAGTCCTTTGAGTAGATGCTGAAACGTTGTGGTCAACATGAAGAAGTCCAACGTATTGGCGACTGCCGTGAAAGCGTGTGATTCTACGTGAAAATGTCAGTGGGTTCATCACTTCCGTGACGATTTAGCATGTCCGCCAAAGAGGCTGTGCGCGATAATCACACGTGGTTTAATCTGCTTTTGATCGTGCAGTTTTGTGCGGGCGGCAGGGTGGCACAAGTGGTGACGCTCGCGCCTCACAACAATAAACGACTGGGTTCGATTCTGGTCTTCCTCCCCAAGTTACAACAAAACAAACTATATGACTGGCGTTGGCCAAACTATGAAACTAAACTAAACTAAACAAATATTTTTTTTTATTTTACCATGTACAGTAAAACCTTGGATTGCGAGTTATTTGACCTGCGAGTGTTTTGCAAGACGAGCTAAATTTTTAAGTAAATATTAATTTGATAAACGAGCGAGGTCTTGCAATACTAGTAGTAGTACGTATACGCTTTGTCTGCCGAGCGTCACGTGATCACAACTGATGTACGAGTGCTTTGATATGCGAGTGCTTTGAATTACAAACACGTTTCTGGAACGAATTATGCTCGCAATCCAAGGTTTTGCTGTAAAGGTCCACTGAGCTACAGAGCTATTTTTCAGAAGTGACCTGACCATCACAAATGATAGCTCAGGGACGTGGCCTATGATCGTGTGGAAATTTACAGCAGCAGCCAAATGCAAAACCAATCAGAATCAGAATATGTATTCATACTGGTGAAATCCGATTAGCTATGAAGCTCTTCGTCACGCATGTCCAGTCGGGGCGGCTAAGAACGTTACAACAACAATCAGTTACAAAGACACGATAGGCGTGCAAAGTATAAGGTAAACAAATCGCCCAAACACAAACAAATACAACAACTAAACCATCCCCATCCTACCAGGCCAAAGCCCACTGAGGTATTTACTTATTTTTCAAAAGTGACCTGACCATCACGAATGATAGCTCAACAAAGTGGCCCATCATTTGGACAATTATAGCAGAAAAATAAATGGTCTAAACGCACATTTCTCATACTGAATAAAATACCTTGCACATTGTTCGATTTTGGATGGACACGCAGCAGCAGCAGCAGCAGCCGCAGCCGCCGCATTTTCCCCCGGCCGTAAAAGTTTGGCAGGGCACCGCCTGACCCAAAAAAAAAAAGAGTTCCTTTGAGGTCGACGGATGATGGAAGCAGCACTGGACCGGCGATGGGGAAGCCTTCATCCGGCAGCGGATTGAAACAAAACGCTGATATGCGTAACATTGTTAACCATTACGGAATAACGGTGCGTCGGTCTGGAGGGCCCCTCTCTCTAACCGTTGTTGGCTTTCGGCGATGAAACGAGGCGGCTTCCGCAATTAGTTTATTCGTTTGCTCCATTTATCATTCTCCAGCCCAGTGGTGCGCGACAGGGAGTTGGGAGAGGCTGGAGGGGGGGGGGGGGGGCTAAGCCCCCGCCCTCAGATAAAATCTCAGCCCTCCCGCTACATTTTTATAAAGCCAAGTCAAAAAAATGTTGGAAAGGAGGTGACCAGAATGCCTAAAACACAAGGTACAATTAAGCACCTCCGATTAGCACGGTTGGCTACGTATGGGGCGAAAGAAGTTCAACATTCATACAAATCATGAGACCGGGATAGCCTGCGATTAGCACGGTTGGCTATGTACGGTACGAAAGAAGTTCAACATACAACGAGCATCGCAGCGTTTCCTCGTGTGCACAGGGTATGATGATGGCTAGAGCGGAGCGTACAATCGTACAGATGGCAGATCGCACCGTCACACCTGTTCCATTCAGCGTCCGACATTCGACGAGAGGGTTTGCAATAAAAATTGACCGCTCCGTGCCGCCTTTTGAAAACAAGTTTCCTAAAACCCACCACCCCTCCATCCCCACCGCCCCGTCCTCCTTACAGGGCACGGCATGCCACTCGCCAGACGGGAGAGGCAGACAAAGAGAGCAGAGAGAGAGACGGACAGAGACGGAGACGCGGAGACATCTGGTTGGACCCACCTTGCAGCCGAACATGAGCGAGATGGTGCTGTTGGTGCAGGCGAGTTTGCAGTGGCACAACATGGGCGAGAAGCAGTCCAGCGACGGCTTGCTGTCGCCCGGGCCCCCGCGTGGCACCGGCATGGGCCCGTGGTGGCGGCGGCAGCGGTGGCTACGATGAAGACCGGCGGCGTGCGACGCGTCGGGAGGAGGAGGTGGCAGAGGTGGCAGCGGTGGATGAATCTGGGTGGGTCCACGCTCGGGTCAAATTGAGGGTTAGCTCCAAAGTGCCGCGTAGGGCAAAAGTCCGCCTGAGCAATGTGTGGACGGGGATGCGCCGGGCTCAAGTCGAATACGCGTCGGCCGTGTATCGTCGAGCCGACTGACGGGCGTATTGAGTCCACCACTCGAGTCTGGTTGAGTAGCTCAGGGCCTGTGCAGCTCGGGCAGGGGTCGAGTTCACCCAAGTCCACGCAGCTTGAGTCCGGCAAAGCCAGATTGAGTGAGGCCCGTAAGAGCAAGCAGGCCTGTCCGTGTCGCCAAAGTCGGATCGAGTCGTCCGCTCAAGTCCAATTAAGTCAACTCGATGACGGAGCGAGTGGCTGAAGCCAGGGCAGAGTTTTGCTCGAGCCTGCGCAGTTGGGATCGGGCAGCTTGTCGAGCCTCTCGATATCTCAGGGTTCGAGTCCGGCGCCCGTCGATCGCTTCAATCGATGCCGCTCCACTCCGTTCCGGCCGGTCTCACGGCATCCGCTCCGAGGGGGTCCGCTGGACTCGTCCGTACGCGGCCCCAACAGCGCTTCCAGTTGCGGAACTCGGACGCACTCGGGGGCCGTGACCATCAATTCCGAGTTCGAATCGGGGGTTCGAACTCGGGGAGGTGGGTGGGGGGGAGGTGAGATCACGAGTCGAGAGGGATCAGGAGGGAGCTGTTTTTGGTCGTGGCGGGCGGGCGGAGTGACGGGCGGTCCGAGTCGATGATCTTGGCACGCTCGGTCCGACCGACCGGAGCATCTGTTGCCCTCACCCCCCCCCCCCCCGCGCACGTCCGGTTAGCGCCGTTGGCTACGTACGGCGAGAAATAAATTTCAACGCGCACGCAAGCGCGCGCACGCACATCCCGCCGACGTTTCGGAGGGGGATCCGCTGGCCGAGCGCTCAGTCTCGGGCGATGCCGCGTCTCGAACAGGCAACGTTTTGTCCGCCTCCCTCGGAGCGATCGCACCCCACCCCGAGTGACTTCGCTGCGCTTGTTCAGCTCAGAGCGTGACACGGCGACAGCAACGGGAGGTCTCACGGATTAAAAAAAATCATCGTTGTCGTCGTCGATGATGATGCTGATGATGATGATGACGACGGCGGTAGGCGATGGAGGCAGGGCTCCACGCACCTCCACTCCGCAGCGAGAAAGATCTTCAATAGGCAGCCGGCCGGACGTCGCAAATTCGACAAACCGCTCCACGCTCCCAGATATTAATAATTCAACGAATAAATGTGCCGTGGCTTTGTTTAAAATGCTTGCGGATAAACGAACAAAAATCTAAAACGCGCGCACGAACCCTATCTGTCACGACCGCCGCACTGTACGAAAAAAAAAACCGATGGTGACGGTAAAACGATAAATATATATTATTATAATTGTTGTTGTTTGCGCAAGCGAACAAAAACGCCTGGGAATTAATCACAGCGGAAATCGCGTTGAGGGCTGTCGCCAGTTGGAATTAGTGGGCGGGCGATCCGGGCCCAAACGAGAAGTTTAATTCCGGCTGGCAGTGGAGAGAGATAAGAGGTAGAGGAGGTGGTGGTGGTCGAGGAGGAGGTGGTAGAGGAGGTGGTAGAGGTGGTGGTGGTGGTGGTAGAGGAGGTGGTAGAGGAGGAGGTGGTAGAGGAGGTGGTAGAGGAGGTGGTGGTGGTGGTAGATGAGGAGGTGGTAGAGGAGGAGGTGGTAGAAGAGGGGAAGAGGATGATGTGGAGGTGGTAGATGACAAAGCAGTGGTGCAAGAGGAAGATGAGGTAGAAGAGGAGGAGGTGAGTGGGGAGGAGGAGGCAGTGGAGAAGAAGCGCAGGAGGCGGTGGTGGAGGAGGCAGTGGTAGCGGAGGAGGAGTGAAGGACGCGGTGGAGGAGAAAGTGGAAGAAACGGAGGCGAGAAGAAGATATGGGGTGGGGGTGGGGGGCTGTCTCTTAACGAAGAGGAGGAAGAGGAGGAAGAGGAGGAAACGGCCCGCGGCGGTGGTGTCAGTGGCTCTGCGCGTGCCGTCGATCCGCGCGGCGCAAAAATTAGAAACCGCGGGCGCGCGGATTCGGTCACGTCGGGGTTTTTTCTCTTCTCCCTCCCTCTCTCTCCTCTCTCTCCTCTCTCTCCTCTCCCTCTGTCCCCTTCGATTTGACGCGCGCTAGGAATCGCCGCGAGCGCCCCAGGGAGCCACGTGCGACTTTTTTTTTAAAGACCCCCACCCCCAGCACCACCACCACCCACCTCCCGCTTCATCGCGACTTCTTCATCGAGGGGCCACCGTTTTCGTATGTCCGTCGCGTGCGTCGCGCGGCTCTTGAAATATTGAGAGGGGTTTTTTTTATTTGTTGCAGAATTCGCTATAGCAACAAAAACGGCTCGGGATTGTTATATTTTGGTTGTTGTGCCTTTGACCATGGGAGTCCAGTTTACCATGGAAGTCCAGTTTTCCATGAGAGTCCAGTTTACCATGAGAGTCCAGTTCACCATGGAAGTCCAGTTTACTGCGAGAGTCCAGTTTACCATGGGAGTACAGTTCACCATAGAAGTCCAGTTTACCGAGGGAGTCCAGTTCACCATGGAAGTCCAGTTTACCATGGGAGGCCAGTTTACCATGGCAGGCCAGTTCACCGTGGAAGTCCAGTTTACTGCGGGAGTCCAGTTTACCATGGGAGTACAGTTCACCATAGAAGTCCAGTTTACCGAGGGAGTCCAGTTCACCATGGGAGTCCAGTTCACCATGGAAGTCTAGTTTACCATGGGAGGCCAGTTTACCATGGCAGGCCAGTTCACCGTGGAAGTCCAGTTTACTGCGAGAGTCCAGTTTACCATGGGAGTACAGTTCACCATAGAAGTCCAGTTTACCGAGGGAGTCCAGTTCACCATAGGAGTCCAGTTCACCATGGAAGTCCAGTTTACCATGGGAAGCCAGTTTACCATGGCAGGCCAGTTCACCGTGGAAGTCCAGTTTACCGAGGGAGTCCAGTTCACCATGGGAGTCCAGTTCACCATGGAAGTCCAGTTTACCATGGGAGGCCAGTTTACCATGGCAGGCCAGTTCACCGTGGAAGTCCAGTTTACTGCGGGAGTCCAGTTTACCATGGGAGTACAGTTCACCATAGAAGTCCAGTTTACCATGGGAGGCCAGTTCACCATGGGAGGCCAGTTTACCATGGCAGGCCAGTTCACCGTGGAAGTCCAGTTTACCGAGGGAGTCCAGTTCACCATGGCAGTCCAGTTTACCATGGACAAGGGTCGGTGACCCGTGGCTCCGGAGCTGCGTGTGGTGGCTCTTTAAATGACCGCTTGGTGACATTATCATGAAGGAGGACCACCACCGTCTCGTATTCGCTACACGGTGCGTCGCGCGGCTCTTGAAATATTGAGTTGGTTGCTTTGTATTAGACGCTTTTATTTAACTCACTCTGTCTGTTGTTGTTGTTGTTGTCGTATCCTCAAATCTTGTAACTCGATTTTAACCAACTTCGCAATGTGGTACCGACTGCAAACTTTGTATACTTATGTATTACTGATGACAATACTATATTCTACCATAAAGACATTTTTAAACAATCTTTTTACACGTTTTCTATGAACTCAATCTGTCTGTTGTTGAACCAGTGGCATCTACATCTTCAGAACGTGAAGAACCAGTGGCATCTACATCTGCAAAACGTGAAGAACCAGTGGCATCTACATCTGCAGAACGTGAAGAACCAGTGGCATCCACATCTGCAGAACGTGAAGAACCAGTGGCATCTACATCTGCAGAACGTGAAGAACCAGTGGCATCTACATCTGCAAAACGTGAAGAACCAGTGACATCTACATCTGCAGAACGTGAACAACCAGTGGCATCTACATCTGCAGAATGTGAAGAACCAGTGGCCTCTACATCTGCAGAACGTCAAAAACCAGTGGCATCTACATCTGCAGAACATGAAGAACCAGTGGCATCTACATCTGCAGAACGTGAAGAACCAGTGGCATCTACATCTACAGAACAGTAAGAACCAGTGGCCTCTACATCTGCAGAACGTGAAGAACCAGTGGCATATACATCTGCAGAACGTGAAGAACCAGTGGCATCTACATCTGCAGAACGTGAAGAACCAGTGGCATCTACATCTACAGAACATTAAGAACCAGTGGCCTCTACATCTGCAGAACGTGAAGAACCAGTGGCATCTACATCTGCAGGAGATTATACAACTTTTAAAGCCATTCCCCGTGTTTTGTGTGCATGCTGTACAGGGTGTTTGGAATCTACAGGAGCAAAGTTGGACTTACGAACAAATCGACTTACGAACAGACACCTCTGGAACCTAACTCGTTCGTAAGTAGAGGAGTCCCTGTACAGCGTGGTCCAGATGTCTCGTGACCCCCATTTTAATTCTCTAAAACTTAATATATTTTCCTTACAGTAAGATTTATTTAAAACGGAAATGGAGAGGCAAAGAGGAGAAACAATCTTGATTTGATAACTTGATTTGAAGCTTTCGTGACTGCAGGAATCCATACTATTTGGTTATTTCGGTAAAGTCACGTAGGTAGAAAAATAAAATAAAACAAAAAATAATATATCACGACATTTCGATCGCAAAACAAGCGGTCATCCTCAGGCGGAAAATATAAGGAGAAACAATGTTTGGGGTCAATTAATTGGGGCGGAAGGGGGGTCACAAGATATCTGGATACCACCCTGTACACACTGGGTGGGAGTATATGCGTTGTGTGTATTCTAGGTTTAAAAAAAAACAACACAATGCTGGGGCATTTTAACACGTAGGCTTTCGCGACCAATATTATTCATAATAAAGGTTTTTTTGGGTTAGATCGCGTTATTTATAAATGTGTCGTAACCCTCCACCACCTGACACGGCCAATCAGCAAAAAAAGTGTCACGTTGGGCATTTGCTTGCTGTGTATGACATTTGCTGTGGTGTAGATTCTTTTAAAATACATCTATTTTTGTTTTATATATATAAAGCATTCATGGAAAAATCAAAACGCTATTTGAGAGAGTATCTAAAGCAAAGTAGAACGAGGGATTGTAAAGAGAGATACGCGTGATATAATCCTTAAAATATATAATAAATAAAAATAATAGATAGATATACGTGAACTGTAAAACACTATGTTACTTTCTAAAAATTACGAAATACGCAGTGGGCACCTTTGGTCTATATGCCCATGGATCGTCGTGGTGGTGGTGGTGATGATATAAATACAAAAAGTACCATCGATAACTTCTCATAGAGACAACCATAAACATGCACACGAGAAATCAAAATCAGAGGTAAATAAATCTACGTCGATCATTTGAAGGGACTCGCTCACACACACAGACGGTAGGAGCTACGCCGCACGCGGCCGCCTATGATCCAGCACTGTGAAGGCAGCAGCTAGGGTTGGTGGATCACACAACAGATGCTGCAAAACTCCCTTCCCGCGGCCGCCAAAAAGGTGCCATAGAGCCCGTCTCGCCGGGAGCACGCGGCACAGGAAAGTGCGGAGTCATTTCCATCTGCTACCATCCGTAAGGGGGGAGTGCAGCGTTGCCCCACCGTGCGTGTGGGTTTTCTCCAGGCGCTCTGGTTTCCCTTTCCACGCCTGTAAGCGCTCATAAATTGGCTGAAAACATCTGAGCCCTTTTCCCGTTCCGAGACATCTTGCAAGTTGCAGGGTTGCGGGCGGGCGGGGAAAAATACGCGAGACGGTCGCCTAACGTCACATTATTGGCACCATCGTTTTTTGCCATCCTTGACACCGTAGGA